ATGTTATCGTACATTCGAGAAATTCGAACGTTTACTCATAGTATTTTTTGTAATATTTATAATATCAATCGATATAAGACGATATAAAAATTTATAATATTTTACATGAGTATGATACAGTCTCGTGTTAAGGTTAGGATTTCGCTTCTCGAATTTTTCTCGCGATTCATGATGCATCTTGAAAAAATCGCCGCAAATTCATGCCTGTCGGTAAGCTATATGTAAACGAAATATCTCTCGAGGAGCAGTTAAAGTTAATGATAATATCACATGTGAAATATAGAGAAAAATGAACATATAGTGAATACATTCGACGAGTGACACCTTAACTAATATATTTGTCACTAGGACGCTGCTCGGTGTATCGAGTAAGTACGTGCAACGATCAACAATATCATCGTAAATAATTGTCTCTGTGTACGTATATGAGATCGAAAAAAAAGAAAAAAAAATGACTATGAATTATACAGAGTGAGTTAAGTTAGAGGATAAAAGACCGAAATATCTTTCTCGAGAGTTGAAAGTAAAGAAAAAAAGATTCTTATTCACTTTAATATTATTTTTTTTTCTTTTAATTAATTCGGGGATCGTTATTTTCAAAGTTATCCACGTTATCATTGTTTCTAAATAAATCTACAAGTTTTTTTTTTCTCGATACGTTTCTCTCGACGAAAATCTTTAATCCTCGAGATGTGACACCGGTCGAACGATTCTTTTTTGAAAAAAAGAAAAAAAATGTTGATTTAATGTATGAAAATAAAAAAAAAGAAAACTTAAATTATTCCGAAAAACACGAGCAGTAAAAAAATAATTATAAAAAATTGTAATTTTAATGGGTCGTTTCTAAAAAGAAATGCATTGGTGCCAAAGGACATTGATCGAAATATTTTGCAATTGTATCAAATCATTATTCATATGTATATATAAATATAAATATATATAAATATATATATATATATATATATATATANATACTTTGGAAATTTTATTAACTACGACATGCAAGGAATAAACATATAGATTCATTTAGGAAGAGATTGATAACCTTGGTAACTCTGAAAAAAAAAATATCGAAAACATAATCTATATTTATGTATTTTATTAAAGGCATTATTTATCATTTGTTGATAGCTCACTCTGCACACTTGTATGCATAATCGTGTATATAAGTAATTTAACATTCATATAATTGAAGGAACTAATACCGATGATGTCGAGTTTATTGTCATCTTATAATAAAAAGCATAAATCACGCTGATATAAATTATAAATGAAATTTTTAATTCAAGAAGAATGTACATATATATATATATATGTAGGACTATACAAATTTTCCCTAATCTAAAAGATTTGATTATTGGCCCATTGACAAAATTCCATTTCGTTCTGAATAGTGCGTGACACATAATTAGCAATATACAAGTACATATATGCGTATATATATAGCTTTATATGTGTATCGATGATATACGTATATAAAGCGTATACAGGACGAATCATATAAATTGTTATCCGAAAATAGTCTCGAAAACTATCAAAAACATAATTTTTCTTTTGAATTGATTAATGCTGTTATATCCGAAGAACAAAAGGAAGTTTCTATACTAAATTACGAATTAATAAAAATTATCAAAATTATATATTCTTATTCTGTAAAATTTAAAAAAAAAAGTAGTATTAAAAAAATATTATGCAATTTTAAAATCTTTACACAAATGATTATAAAATTAATATATCTAGTATTTTAACTTTTTTAAATAATCACTTTCTAATGTAAATAAATAGAGAAGGGGAAAATTATATTATTCAATTACAAATTAAAAATAATAAATAATTTGTGAAAATTATTATTAATAATGTATTCTTTGAAATTTTTACATTTTTTTTTTACAATGAATCGTTACATGCATGTAACGACTTATTAAATCATTATTATTAAATCATGAATTAAACATTTATATAGAAATTTATATAGAAATAGTAATATATACTGCAGTCATATGTTTTCATAGTTTTAGAGAAATTAATTTGTAATAATTTACATGATTCATCCTGCGAACTTATAATCCAAGGCGAAATTTCACTTTACCACTGTCCTTTCTCCAAGATTTACACGTAAAAACAATGATTAATGCTATCTAAAACACCAAGGTTATTACACTTAAATATTGCATTAGATCATATACATATATATGATCTAAATTTAAGTTGGAAATGCAGGGTACATGCTGGGCGTTGACCCTTTGCACTCAGAGAGAAATACAGCTCCAACATTTACTGCTTTCCTTTTCTATATCACATTCGCGTAAATATGATTGCACGAGTGACAGATTTGCATTTAACAAAACGAAAATTTATAAATTTCTATTTTACGATAAAATATAATAACAATTTTAAATTATGAAATCAAGGATATTCGTCTACATTTATTTTATTTATTTTTGATTTTCTATCTGTTACATAACTACAATTCGAAAATTATTATTCTGGTTAAATGCAATTCGAAAAACGAGGAATCAAATTAATAAATTAAAATATGTATTTTCAAACGATTAATACTCCAACGAAATATTTTTCTTTGAGGACAAAATTCAAATAAAATAACCAGTAATGAATATTTTTAGATAAAATGCAATTTTACTTCATCATTCCTCGTTATTCGTCAAAATTTGAAGGAAATCAAAGCCGTATTTGTCCCAAGTGCGGTCAAGTAAACAAACAAGCTAACACCAGTTACTGGGTATAGTGAATCTGAGATGGTAATTGGACTAGCTGATTGACTGAAAGTGTCGGTGGACAAAGGTTTAGGGAAACTGTTATTCAAGATTGTGGAAGCATGGTTGCGTTAACGTTGATTGACAACTAATTCGAAGAGCAAATACTGAACTGCGAATTCTGCGTATCTAACATTGTCTCTAAAAGTGTATATATAATATATATAATATTTAATATATATATTATATATACTATGCATATACATTTATTATACAATTTCTCATTTATTCGCTATATTTATAATTCATATAATAAATGCATATATATGTGTGTGTATATACATATACACGTGTGCGCGTGCCCGCGCGTACGTGTACGTGTGTACAGTATATGTTCTTTTTTACAAATATAGTAGGTGTAATAAGACGTGTAATAATACGGGCAATCCAAGGAAATTCTTTTCAGGCTCATCGGTGGAAAATATATAAATATTCTATTCTGTGACAGTAGAAACATATCAAGGGAGTGTGTGTAGGATCTGATACACGAGGCAAATCTTGTGTGTATATATTATTCAGATGTCCAGATGTGCATACGGACCCAAAAAAAAAAAAAAAAAAAAGGAAAAAAAAGTTATAAGTTCATTTAAGGACGGGCTGGAACAATGAGGGATAGAGGAAGACAGGAACAATTAGACGTACATCATATACAAGAGGGGGTAATGGTAAACAGTTTGACAGTAATTAGAAATGCAAAAGGAGAAAAAAATAAAAAAAAAAAAAAAAAAGGAAAAAAAAGTTATAAGTTCATTTAATGACGTGCTGGAGACATGAGGGATAGAGGAAGACAGGAACAATTAGACGTACATCATATACAAGAGGGGGTAATGGTGAACAGTTTGACAGTAATTAGGACTGCGAAAGGTGACTCAACTCGGGAAAGCTAGTTGGTTGGCTGTGTCTCTCACCTGCGACCTCGCTCGTTCTTCAAAGTGCCGCCATACTTGTTTCGCGTCCCGATCAGGTCAATTATCTCGGGGATACAACTGGCGAATATGGCCTACACCACGTGATAGAACAGAACACAACACTCGCATCAATACACTTGTGTGATAAGGGTGACAATTGTATACTTTATTTTTGTTTCTGTTTTTTTTTTGTTTTTCTTTTGTTGTTTTTTTTTTCGTTTTTCTTTTCACATTTACAGATTTCAGTCACCAGTAGTTTCGTCATCTCGTCCAATGTCGAAATGTGATTCGCTAACGCGTTGTTGTTACAGATGCTAGTAACCTTAGCTAATTTGTTTTAGTTGCTTTTCTTTGTTTTGTTGGTATTCTTTTTTTCTGAGCTGGCGAGGGGGAGGAAATTTGCACTTATGAACGGAAGTAAGTTTTGGCTCAGCTACCGGGCTCAGCGGCCACTCATAGAGACACGATTAACAGTGCTGTACCGCTATGGGTGCCACGGCCCAAATAGTTAATATGTAAATATGGAAACGAACACGTTCCAAATAAAGGGCGGGGTAGGTAGGCTACCTACACCTAGGTCCTACACTCCTACACCTAGGCCTATAACGATAACTACACGTGCCGACACGTCTACCTAGTCCATTGGCAGGTAAGTCGTAATGTATTCAATTTGGTATTGAATTTTGAATCGCGAATTCTTGCGATACAAACACAGAATACGTTTCTCTAGACAATTAAACATATTTTCGTTTGTCTGGCTTTTTTATTAATGAAGAATCGCTTCTATCTTCTCGTTGGATACGTATGAACGTCGACGAACGGATCGAGAAAGATTTCGAGAAAACGTTTTTTTCATCTAATTTAAATAATTTCCTTTTTTTTTTCTTTTTTGAAAATACGAAAATACAACAAACCCCTGTAGCACGAAATATTGATCGCACAGAACCGGTTTGTTTTTTTTTTTTTTTACCCGAACGAAATTTTCCCAAAGAATTGTTCAAGAGAAGATATTCCTGTTCGAAAAAGGTTATAGTGTCATCATGTATGACTTTGATCATTGAAAGTATATATATATATATATATGTATATATATATATATATAGCATATTGCCTATTGGTGACGAACGAAAGATGCGTTTCAAATGCTGACTGTATCGTTGCCGCACGATAAAATGAAAATGCACCATCCTGTATTTCTGATTAAAAGAGCAGTTAGCGAGCGATGTTAGCGTCTAGATAAGAGTATATCACTCGTCCATATTAGCGCTTCGCACAATCGAATACAACCTTTAGAAATGTACGAAACGGCGAAAACAAATGTAGGCATAATTCAGTAGGTATCGTTTCGACTATGCCATATCGCAACATTGATGCGATTCTCTTTCTTCCTCTTCTCGATTGTAGGATGCTCTCGACGTATATGTCCACTTTGAATACGATAAACTTACAACCTGAATGATCATTTTGAAGCAAATGTACGACTTATAATTCTGCAATTTTTTTTCTTTTTTTTTTTGTTCTTTTTAGAAAAAAATCGTCGATCGGCCTTTTACATAAATTTATATAATTAATTCGTATAAAGTGTATACTACGTTTGACAAATAAAGACTTCTTTAGTCAAAAATGAAATAATATTATTTCTAAAATAATTTGATGTAATATATGATTATTGTTAATATTATGAAGTGAAATTTCAATTATATAATTCTTTTACTAATAAAATTAATTTTGATTAATGATGTAAAATATATAATTGTATCTATATATTGAATTAATAATAATAGAAATTTAATGAATGAACTATTTTAATCATGGCTTAAAATTTTCATTTATTTGAATTAAAATAATGAAAATATTCCTATTATACACGTAGTACAAAAAAAAATATTCGTATCGATGATATAAAATAACAATTTTCAACTAATTGACATACTATATATAAATAATTTAAAGAAAAATTTACAAAATTTTAATAAAAGAAATGCTTCTTCTATTCAATAAACATATATTTGATTCTATTTTACTTTTTTAAATAAGAAATTTCACATATTTTGATTAAAACTTTAGTAATAATTTTATTAAAAATCTAAGAATAAATTTTAATTTAGCTATTCTAATATATAATAATAAAATCTTAGTACTATTGATCGTAAATGTGATAAAATATTCCATGAGATAATTGAAAATTTTCACTTTACAAAATTTTACAAAACAATGATTAATTGTTCAATTATATATTATAATTATACATTATAAATATAATATAAATATACATTATAAACAATGGATATTAAAATTATTTAAAAAATTATGGTTAATTGGTATTATAAATAAAGTACAAAGAAAAAATATTTTTTTCAATTTCAAATTAATTTAAATAATTTTATTATATTCATATTTATACTCATAAATATTATTGAGAATCACCAATTTAAATGAATGAATACTGTAAGTAATCGTACAGGCCAATAGACGATCAATCTCGAACAACTAATTTTTTTCAAGAAAAGAAGCATGCGTCTGCGGCAACGAAATCTGTGAGCGTAATCGCGTTATAATACAACATTTTTGTAAATCAATTATTGTTATATTTGATTTACGAAATTTACGAAATAAGAGTGTTTCTTGGGACATGGGCTAGTGTCATTCTATGCGTGTATGTTGTCTCTTATACGCTTTCCTTTCGCTCAGTGATGCATGTTTGTGTGAATAAATATTCACATATCACGCACATATATACGTATTTATATGTATGTATACATGTGCAAAAAATACGCACGATGCGCGCGCACACACACATACGTGACATACATATATATGTACGTATATACAAGTATATATATTTATATGGAGAGAAAGAAAAGAAGAAAAAAATAGTAAAATATATGCATATACATATGTAATGTGTTAACGATGATTGTAATGGAGATTTGTGACTTTTTACTAATCTTTCTCTTGTAATTTTGGTTGGAAAAATATTCTTGGAATGGCTGCGATAAGTTTTCGCCTGTCACATGAAACTGTACATACATATATTTAATATTCAATTACAGATATTAGAATATTTAAAAAAGTTGAACATTCTTTAAGCTAAAATAAAACGAATGAATGAATTTTATTCATGAATTGAATAAAATTTTTTTCTTGACTCATTTGTTATTCAATTATTGACAAATAAAAATTATCGAAAATATCATTAGACGCAAGGAAATTTTGACAATTCGACTATTGAAGGCACAATAATCTTTGTAATTTTCAATATTTTTAATATTATTGGAATATAATTATATAAAAAAATAATAATATTTATTTCTACAATTATATTTTTAAGACTTGTACGAGTTAAATAATTAAAAAATCAAAGGTTCATTGATTATAAGGATTACTATGTTCTCTTCTGCTTAAGTTATCATATATTTATCATATATTTATTTCAGCAAAAAGATATATCGGCATGAAATCATTTCTATTGATCAATAATTAAAAGAGCAAAGCCTCAAATGCAATTTCTTCGTTTTCTTGATTTTCGTCTTATTTTGGCTCAAAAAATCAACCTTTAAATTTTTCAACATTCAGTAATTGAATACTCTGTATACATATATTACATATAATAATATACATTTATACATATGTATGTAATTGTTAAAGAGAAATAAGGAGATAAAAAAGAGAGAGAAAGAGAGAGAAAAAGGAAGATAGATAGATTTTTTCGATGTGATTGAAATTCTAAACTCTCACTATCTATGTGCCTGAATAACAAAGTAAGGATAATGAATAATAAGCGTCCCACGGGAAACGGCGGGAAGGCTGTTATAATTATATAATTATCGTATAATTATCAAATTGTAAAATTATTGTTGTAAAATTATTCGAAATATAATAAAATGAAATTGAATTACTAGTATATTCGAATTATCAGTATGAATACGCGAATAAAAAATAAAATCTTATATAGAAATATAATTATTGACGATACGTACTTATGTATGTATTCTTACACCATGATACATTATATCTACGTTAACAACAAAAAAAAAAAAGAAAAGAGATACCCGAACTCGAGTAACTTCTTCTAAATTTACCAATGAATACAAAGGAAATATAAACCCATGCTTGGTTACTTCTTCTACGTCTTATTAAGTCATGCGAACACACGAATAAGCGGATATGAAATATATATTCAAATTCCACACGATTGGTGGTTCCACGATCACGTGACTTTTTTCACGTATACGCCTTCTCCGCGTTTGGCCCATTCGACGCAAAAAAGGTTAAGCGTTGTGTTTCTCGCAATTATATAATGTATATACGTGCAATTTCTACTTAATAAAAATTCCCTAATAAGAGCAACCGCATGTACCTACGCCTGCACCCCCTTCTACTGCTGCGTTCTAATTTCAAGTGCCAAAATATAATATTATTTTATGTAATCAAGCCAGAAATCGTGTCTCGATTCGACGGTGTGGGGTTTCTCCATTTTTTCTTTTTTTTTTGTTATTGTTGTTGTTGTTGTTTTTACTTTTCACTCATGCCTCGAGTGAAAGAAACCGTTCCTCTCTAACAGGCCATTCCGCGAAAGGTTTCTTCACCTTTGAAAAAAACTCTACAGGCTAGCCAGAGCACTAACGCATGCCACCAAGAAACTCGGTTTGTGAATAAAGAGGGATAGATAGATAGATAGAGCAGAATAGATAGATAGATAGAGATAGAGAGAGAAAGAGAGAAAACAAAAATGCCCACGAGTCGCTGATACTTTTTAAGAATATCTTTATTTTTAATATTTTTTTTTCTCTTTCCCTTTCATTTTCTTAACCCTCAAGTGTATGATATTTAAGTCAAAATCAAATTTAATTTTTTGTTAATTTGAATCAAAAATAATTTATAATTTGAATATTCGATTCTTGTTATCTAATTAATCGTTGATATAGCCATCATATCACAAGGGTTAATTAATATATGTTTATTTTAATTAATTAAAAGTATCAGCGACATTCGCAACCCGCTGCTTCACGATTCCTTCTTTTCCGTACCATTCTACCGATCATTCGAATATTACGGCGAATTTCCGAAAGCCTACAAGTTCTCATGCTGA